TTCCGCACCAGAGGAATACAAGAAACTTGCCGAGCGGTGTTGTGATGCTGATCCTGATAAGCGTCCAGATGCATGGACACTTGAGCGTGATATTTACGAGTTTATTAGTGAGATGTCAAAGGGTAATTCTGACGACAACACATGGAATTACGTCTATTATAATGATGTAAAACCCTTATCACGTCTCGAGAAGGAGAGTAAATATTCTAGTATACTCTTACCTACAGGAGAATTACCTAAACCAAGAAATAGCTATGATTTGGATTCAGCTGCAGGTATGGTTGCATGTTGATACAATGAAGTCAATTTACAATGTTAACACCGTTCATTTCTTATAATTTAGAGACTCAAAATCTTTTTGAATAAACTTGTAATTCACGGGTTATTTACAGTTTATACGAGTTTTATCTCGATACGCTTCCACGTATGTCAATATGGTTGAGTTAACAGGATTCCGGAAAAAAAAAAGTCGTGCATGTTTACTGTTTAGCTGCCTTTGCCGGGGGCAGATCATTTGAATATCTGTAAGAAAATATTGAGTACATTATTTATTAGAAAGTAAATATTGAGATTAAAGTTTATAGAGTTTAATGCTAATTGTTCCTGAATAAAATACGTAGCAATATTCGAGTTCGGTTCATTGTCAATTTCAGCACCAGCCGGATGTTTCCTTACATTGTTTTTCATATCCAAACCAAGTCTTTGCCAAATGACCCATGCAGTCGCAACTTATTAAGGCCTTGATAGACGCGATAGCTACTTTATGACTAGAATGCAGGCTATAAATGCAGATCCCACGCCTGCTCGAAACTTCGATTGAAGAATATCTCTGAAACTCCTGTAAGAACTAAAACTCCACGGTATTACGCGAGTGATGAATCATCAATCCTCGAAGATCTATCGCCACTCTTTCATGATATTGCTGCATAGCCTTAACGACCCGTAACGATGCAAGTTTAATGGCATCCAACAACGCGGAAATAAAATCGCCATACACAAATGTGCCAAGATCATATCAAGCGCACGAAATAATGTTTGGGTAGTCTGCCTCATGGCCGAGAGTTGAATCTAGTTCTAGGTAAACTCGAAAAGTTCAAGTTGTTACACAAAAGTGAGAGAGTTTATCGATGCAAACACAATCTACAACTAAGGCGATTGTTATCGTGAGAATATTTGGCTAATCAAGAAAGAAGAGAGAAAATCTAAACGAGAGTGGCTCATAACCTTCGATTTAATTTCACTTTTTTCCAAGCCTACAAACAGTAACTAAGAGGTATCGAGAATATCTTTCATGACAGGGATTACTACGTTAATACAATCCTATTAAGCATAACATGAAACACTTGCTGTCCTGTTAATGATTGAGTCATTCGTAAACATCGTATTTTGTCTCAAAGGCATATAGATGTAATTGCAATAGAATTGGTTAAATTTGGTTCCATTTACCACCTTCCACATAAATGATAAGAATAGTCCTAATTGATTTGTGATGATAAAATTCTCTATTCTTATCTGGTATGCGTACAGATACGCCCTCTTTTGATACACAAAAGTTTCCCATCTTTTTTTTTCATTATCAAATATGTAAATTTATTCTTGGCTTAGACCGGACTAATAACTCCGCTGGTAATTTTGTCCCGCTAATTACTTGTCGAAAAACCGGTTGGTTGCAAACATTGCAACTTTGCATATTATTTAGGAAGGCCATCGTTTCACATCAATTGTTGATCAATTGCGTGCGCGGAATTAAAGTTATATTAAAAAAGAGCAAACTCAATAGCGTCTGTATATTCACCTACAGACACAAACTCTGTATACAACAACAGACTAAAAATATCATGTTAATGTCACTGTAAGACAATGAAAAAGGGTATCGATGATTTTTCATATTGATTAAAGCAAGCGTCCTTCCATTATTTGGCAAACGTTCTTTTTCGATTTTTCTTTTTCACCTTAAACGCTACCGGTATACATTGTTGTTTTATACACACGTTCTAACAAACTAATGTCAAATCTTCCGCCTCCCAACGCGCAAGGTGCAAGCAATGTAGAAAAGACGAATAATGATGAAAAATTGAACGTAAAAGAAAAAGAGGAAAATACATCTCAGACAAATGACATACAAGAAAAAAATGTAGAGAAAAAAGATGAGGAGAATACATCTCAGACGGAAAAAATTGTAGAAAAGAAGGAGGAAGAAAATACACATCAGACGAGAGACATACAAGAAAAGGGGGTAGGAGTAAAAGACGAGGAAGAGAAGAAAAAGAAGAAGAAAAAGAAGAAGAAGAAGAAGAAGAAGAAAAATGATAATAATAACAACAACAATGATGACAATGATGACAATAATGACGATGATGACGATGACGGGGACGAGGATGATGAGGACGATGATGATGATGACGAAGACGACGACGAAGAAAAACCTTCAGTTTATACTGTTGTTCATGATGCTTATGTTAATGGAGGAAACATGAGAATGGAAGCCATCAATTATGTTACAAATAGCGGAGGTTATAATAATAATAACGCTAATGCAACGGCTAATAACAATAACGACAATAATGTTGTTGTTGGCGGCTGTGGCGACTGTGGCGACTGCTGTAGCGGCTGTGACTGTGGTGACTGCTGTGACACTTTCTGTGACGACTGCGATTGTAACTGTTTTAGTCGCCGTGCAATACTTCGTAGAATTCTTTCATGCCTTTGTGGTATTTGCTGTTGACATATGTAAGTGTAACTTCTATATATAAAAACTTTATTTAAAATATTAATTTCTGAATAAGGTAATACCATGTCTGCGAGTGACTAAACAATAATCTGACTACTATATTATTTTCTACAGTTTTGCGAGAACACACAGATTTTTCTCGCCGCTACTTCAACTCTTGCGGATTCAGTGGACCCAATAATATATAACAATTTCTTTTAAGAAGACCTACGGCGACGGCATACAATTCTATTATTTATTACTGAGAATATATTCCCCTACCTCTCATATATTTTAGTATGTAAACGCAGGCTATAAATAAAGTCATTTTACTGAAAATATAATAATAATAATATATATGATAAACTTTCCAAGGTCTTTAAAATGTTGCATTCGAACGTTCAAAGTATTAAAGTTCCAAAATAATGTAATAGTGGGAATATTATGTAATTAAAATCTAACCGCCGAAATAATATGTTCACAATTGATTTTATTCGAGCTTCACTAATGCTTGTCGGAATGCGGTTAATGATTTATTAAAAACGCATTAACACTTGTATTCATTGTCAGTGTGAATTTCCGACGTCGATTTCTTTTATGTAAATTATAAATGTCATGATATGTTAACATTACTATTCGTTTCAATGGAGAAGATGTTTTCCCGTCGGCTCGCGGCAAACTATTAGTACAGTTTCCGGCGAAAACAATGGCGGCCAGTATTTTTTTTTAAAAAAATTATCAATTTTGTTTTAAAGTTATTTATTTAAGCCTAGTATCATAACTCAAGATAAATCGTGGCTTACTTTTAGATTTATATTAGTTAAAACTAATTTTATGAATAAAATTTTGATTAAGTTGACAAGCAGCAAATGTAAAAGCATTTTATGTTATCTGATTGGACATATTAATATCAGGCAAAACTTTTTAAAAACGCGAATATCTTTGAGATAGTTATAAGTTTATATCCAAATCAAACGGGGATTATTAAAATGCAAATATAAAGGCAAGGCTATTTTTAACCATTCCTGACGTATTAAGTAAATAAGAAAAATAATAATACGTTTACATACACTACCCTATCAAAAGTATCCGGTCAATCAATAAAAATTATATTTTATTATAAATGTTTAATATTTAGTTGGCCATCCTTGGTTTTTAATACATGCTTCACTC